AAGGATCTTGCATGGACCAAGTAACACAATTCAGGTGAATGGACAGTTTAATGCCAAACTGGGCTACAGGAACAGAACAGTGCAACAGGCCATATATGTGATACCAGGATTAGTTTCACCATTGCTGGGTTTGCCAGCCATACAAGAACTGGGCATCCTCAGTACAGTGGACACAATAGGAACATCCATTCCAAATTACAGGGAACTGTATGCTAAAGTTATCAGTGGCTTAGGAAAATAGTATAAAATTAAGTTAAAGGACCCAGCTACTCCTTTTGCCCTGGCTGTGCCACGCCAATTGCCCTTGCCTTTAATGAAAAAGGTACAAGAAGAACTTAAGTGGATGCAAGATTTAGGAGTTATTGGGCCCATGGAAGGAGTAACTGAGTGGTGTTCTGGTATGGTTGTAGTACCAAAACCCGATGGTAAAATTAGGATGTGTGTCGATTTAACTTGCTTGAATGAGAATGTGTGCAGGGAGAGACACATTCTTCCGGCACTTGACAAAACACTGGCAAAACTATCCGGAGCAACATTTTTTTCCAAACTGGATCCACTGTGGGTTTTTGGCAGATCTCTTTACATAGGGATTCAGCCCCACTCACAACCTTCATCACTCCCTTTGGTAGGTACTGCTTCCATCGTCTTCCCTTTGGGATCTCGTCAGCTCCTGAACATTTTCAGAAGAAGCTGACCCAGATGCTGGATGGCCTTGAAGGAACGATCTGTCATGCTGACGACATCCTGGTCTTTGGCACTACACAGGAGGAACACAATGACCGTCTTCACAGGGTTTTACAGAGACTTGAGCAGTGGGGCCTGACGCTGAATGACTGACGTCAGTTTGCAGTGACCGAGGTCAAATCTCTTGGCCACATTATTGGTGCTCCAGGCATATGGCCTGACCCATACAAAATAAAGGCGGTTTCTGACATGCCTGTCCTTAAAGATGTGGCTGATGTTGAGATTTCTTGGCATGGTCAACTATGCAAGGAAATTCTCCCCTAACATTGCAGAGTTGACAGGGCCACTCAAAGACCTCTTAAAAGCGGAGAACTACTGGACCTAGGGCAGTATACAACAGCAAGCTTTTGAATGAGTGAAATAGGAACTCAGCTCTTCGGCAGTCCTTGCACAATATTGCCCAGACAGAGAAACAAGGGAATCAGTCCTCTGACTGTGGAAGACTTAACCCTTCAGAGCGAGGTGAGCGCATTTGTTCGGCAGCTCATACAACAACTGCAAGCAACTGATGAAAAGTAAGCTCAGGTTCGGAGAGCTCAAAAAGAGGATATGAATTGCAGACAGTTGTCCACTTTGATTGATACTGGGTGGGACAGACTGAATTCCACCCAACATTTAAAACCATTCTGGCAGCACCGGCATGACCTGCTAACTGTGGATGGCCTTCTCATGAAGGGACGGATAATTGTTATTCCAGAAAGCATGCAAGATGAAATTCTTGAGAAACTACTTCAAGGTCATCAGGGAATTGTGAAGTGCTTGGCCAGGGCCCGAGAGACAGTGTGGTGGCCAGGACTGTCCAAAAAGATTAAGGACAAGGTAGGAGAGCCTCTGCTAACCGCATCCTTACCCTCGCGCCCATGGCAGCGTGTAGCAGCACACTTGTTCCAGTGGAATAAGGGTCAGTATTTAGTGGTAGTTGGTTACTACTCTTGCTACAGTGAAGTTGCCACACTCACCAGTACATCCACTACTGCAGTGATACGGAGCCTGAAAGCAATCTTTGGTTGGCATAAGGGTTGGGGTCATTCCGGAATTAATCAATTCCAGTCCAAATCAGGAAATGGAACTGGAGTTGGGATTGGAAAAAAAACTATGGAGAACAGAATTGGAATTGAATTCGAATTTCAGGGAGATTTAAATTCCAATCCAGTTCCATTTTCTGATTTGGATTGGAATTGACGAATGCATTCCAGAATGGCCCCAACCCTGGTTGGCATGGTGTCCCGGAAACATTTGTATCTGATAACGGACCACAGTTTTCGGCAGAGGAGTTTGGAGACTTGGCACGGGACAGGGCTGGACTGGCCATCTGGCATACCGGGCAATGCCCGGTGGGCCGACATACATTTTTAGGCCGGCCTGGGGCTGTCATAATTAACCCAAAAAAGTATATTATAAATAATTTTTATCAACCGCTACGTCCCATTGATTTTCTTGAAGGACATTGGGTTAATCCAATGAAATCTCTCAGCCCTCTTCAGCCCGCCCCTCCCTCCCCTTTTTGCCTACACTTAAGCTTGCACACAGTCAGTGTTAACAATAACATAAAAATAATGTTTTGGGATGTGCTTAATATTAATAATAATAGTGAATTAAAATAGAAAGCGCAAAATAAGAAAAAAGTTAAAAGAGTTCGGATTAATACAATTTTAAAATGATAAATTATTAGAGACACAACTGAAAACAAAACAAGCTGTGTGGTACAATGCACAGCACCAAGCTAAGGAGAGACCATCCCTCCAGCCAGGACAGAGAGTCTGGATAAAGAACAGTCCACATCCAGGCAGTGTCGCAAGTTGCGCTAGAACCCCAAGATTTTACGAGGTAGAGACACCAACAGGACGGCTCAGACGGTACCGCTCTCATCTGAGGGTCATCCCTTCAGTGTCAGGAGGATTGTCATGTCACAGACATTCTAGGACTGGGTGTAGGATTAAAGCACCTTCCAGACTGGATTTGTAGCTTGTTGTGTGTATAAGAGGGGCAGAATAAGCATACCACAACAGAGGGGCTGGGCAGTCTACCCCACCTCACAGGTTTTTCACCTTTGGTGTGAGGGGGGAAAAAAAGTTAAGAATGTTCATTTTATATTTAAATTTATTCTGGTGTAATCACTGGAAAAAAAACGGGGGGTATATAGAGTAGTGGATTTGGATTTTGAAATTTGTTTTTGGGCAAAGTTCATGTTAAGTAGAATGTTAATTGTTACAGAGAAATATAGTAAACCATGGAAGAGTTACTTTGTTAAAGGGAATTACCTAACCTGAATGGGGGAGGTGTAGTGATAGGATATGACGTTATATAATATAAGGTGGGGGCATGCGGTCTCCCGTGTACCTCCTTTTATAATACAACACAATAGGGACTTTAAGAAAAGCAGTATAAAAATATGCTCAGTCATTATGATTTCCAGTATTAACCTTGTGTTTGGTCTGAAAATCTAGTCCAGTAAAATCATCCCATTCGACATCTATAATATCCATCTCTGGCTCACAGACCTGGAAACCAAGCTGCTGTTTCAAGCCATGATCTCTCGATTTCATAGCATCTTACCTGCACTGTTTTACTGTAACTTCTGGTTCAATTTGAACAAAGTACATGTAATAAACCATAAGCACAATAAATTTAATATTTACGGAATCAGTTATGTCAATGACCAATATTTGTTATTGATTGACTTTTGATAAGCCTATCTACAATATTAATAAACATAAATGTATAACTGAAATAATTATGATTAAAACTGGAATATCTAGTAAGATACCAAAGAACCAACAATGACTATCAGCTGCTCAGTGTGACCTGGTAGTACCTTAATAATCTGGTAGTTTAGGCCAGTCTTCCTAAATTCGGCCTCTACTTGTTGGTATTCTGTAGAGCTGGTTCCCAGGGGCACTTCAAGCAATTCAGAACCCTTCATGTCATCCCAATCACCTGGAAGACCTTCTGCAGCTGATGAAGTAAAAAAGAAATGTAAAATGTAAATTGCATAGTTTGTATCTCTTGTCTTTAGAGAAGTTCTGCACAGGCTCCTTAGTCAATGTTCAGCTGGACTTGCATTCGTCTAGAGCAACAAAATTACTTTGACCACTATTAAATGTACAATTACACACAATCTATACTAAAACAAATTACCTTTCTTTTCTTTTCTTTTGAGCTTGACAATTTGTCTTCCACTGAAAGCTTCCTTAGAAGTTAAATCAGCCATATGTTCCAAATTATTGATGTTTATTTCAACTTTAGCACAACGGTTATCAAAGGCCTGTTCAAGGATAAGGTTGGTGAAGGGGTCAAAAGGAATGAATGTTCCGGAAGCGTCATGCTGCCACTCCACCATGGCACCCACAAGGACCGCTTCACATTTGCGTCTGTCCAAACTCTCCACCTTGCGCATCATTTCCTTAATACTATCATTGGCTGTCAAAACATCTCTGGAGAGGCCCTCTAGTTGGATGATGGAGTCAGTGCCTCGCTTCTCTAGATGAATGCTCACTGTCAACTTCTTCTGCAGGTCCTGAAGCTTCCTACAGTCCTCCTGAGTGAATAAGCCAATACAACTGTCCTTGATGGTATGTTCCATTTGTTCTTTCATGATGAGGTCCTGGACATACTTCTTGGCCTTGGACACCTCCTCGTGGCTCTCTCCGCAAAACTGAAATATGGCTGGAGTGAACTCTTCTCCTACTATGGTGAAATCTTCTTCGACATCAGGTGGAACACTGGTACCTCCAAACACACTAGTAATTGTGTCTGTTTGATAACAAATGGAAAGTTATGATCAGAGAAATAATAAATACAGTACAAATGGAAATGTACAAATGATAAGACTTTTACAACATTTTCAAATAATAGAAGTGTGTTTAATAAACTAATCATTCAGCATTAGAAAATAATTTTCTGTCAGCTGCTAAAGGCACACAAGGAACATGGAAGAACATTTTGCATTTAAAAGTACATTTTAGTGAGTCTAAGTGATAAGACACTAAATATGTCTGTGATCCTCTGATACCTTTTATTCTTGAGAATATACTCTTCTCCTCTGGCTGAACTGTGCCTTCTTTTGTCTTCAGGCTCCTGTGAAAGTCGGCCATCATCCCTGCTTGGAAAACTACGATCTTCACACTCTTCAGAGACTGTCCCTTCTTCATCTTCTCAAAGTCTACCACGGCATTTATCATGGCATCTGCCACCAGAGATGGGCTTACTCCTCCAGCACCTGGGAGATGTACAAAATGGATATCACTACTTTATAGAGTGAGCTGTTCACTCTTCTCTGACACCTGCTCATTGCCAAATGTATCGCTTTCTTTGACAATATAGTGGTACCTCAGTTCTCGAACTCATTAGAACTCGAATTTCTTAAAAGTCGAACCAACCAGTTCAAAATAAAAATTACCTAGAGCTCGATCTGAATCTCAGAAGTCAAACCGTGAACGCCGACCTAAGATAACTTGTACGCGCGGGAAAATGAGTCACGCCGTCTCTCAGAGGAAACAAAGGGTAAAGCTTCAGTCTCAGCCTCGCATTCGCTGTGGTAGCATCCTGCATCCTGTACGCCGATTTACAGACAGGCACGTCTGCGGGCAGCCCAGTGATATTGTTGCTGTGGAACACGTGACCCATGCTGCCTTGTACAGGACCTCAGCCAGAAGTTTTGGACGAGTTCTGAGAGAAAACGGTAAGGCTTAAATTCTGATATTTCAAAGACCCATTTATTTAACTGGTTTGCTATGAAATGTTGCTTTAAAAGAACGCGAATTACGCCGTGGGGAACTGGCGTAATGATATTGAGCCTTCAATCAACCGTAGCTTACAGGTAACGTTTAGTATCATTGATTCTGACAGTTAGATTTGTGCGCTTGTTGGTGGGCTCACACGTTTTTTAATCGTTAAAAATCAATCATTTTGTTAATTTTAATTATTACCATGTCAGCACGATGTTATCAGTTCTGTTTAATTTTTTTGTGTTGGAGAGTTTCACTCTGTGCGTGTGGGGCGGAGCAGGCAGCTCTCAAAGACTGCGGCGTCCTCTGAGACACAGCTGCTAAGAACAATGCATGGCGGAGAAATCTGTTCTGTTTGTTCGAAAGCGTGGTTACCATTCACTTGAGCTGATGCTGACAATGGTCCTTCTGTGCAACTTGTTTGCATTTGAAGAGCTCAGATTCGAACAATTTGTCAGACGTCTAGATAAAAAGTGCACGACTTTGCGCAGTTAGTCTCTTCATTCGTCTATCCTTTACACGGGCTTATCTGTCGACAGCGTCACAATCAATAGGGGCTTACGTTGTCTTTGCATACAAGGCTGTGTAATACGACAAAGTTATTTTATTTTCGCTAGATTCTAATTGTGAATTTGGCTTGTAAGCTGTCTGTCTGCTAACAACATAAACAACATGTTAGTGAAAGGTTTCGGGCCTTGTACACTACTCATACCATGATGCACTTAGTTACTAGTGTTTTTTTTTTTATTTCAAAATGTATTAGAGTAATTATTTTAATGTGCATGGAATACTGGAATTGTAGAATGAATTGAAGATGAAGGCACTATATAAAAAAGCTAACCTTGCATTTTTTCTTCTGTTTTAGTAATTGCTGTCTCAAGGCTGAACAAAAATCTAATCCTGTATGGCAGCATTTCACCAAGCCAACACTATATTGTGCACTGAAAGAGATTCTGATGCTATTTTTATTGTTTATAAGTTTGTTTACAAGTTGTATTGTGTTTACGTTTATTTTTAAATTTACAAGTCAGTATTCAATAAATGCAAAGTTGAGAATTTTTGTGTATCATTTGTTATTAGTGTGATATTTTACCATGCAGATAGAGGGGAAAATGTCCAATTATCGGCCAAAAAGCATATATCGGCCATCAGCTGACCCTCACTCCTAAATATCGGCATCGGCTATTGAAAAACCCTTCTGACAGGATTGTATCTCCTGGATGAGGTAGGAATGGTGTGTGCATGTTCATGTGTGTGTAAGTGAATGAGTGAGAGAATGAGTGTGTGTGTAAGCCTTTAAAGGAGCATGTGGCGGTTGGATAATTCAGTGTCAAAGTTTTATTGGCTGTTGGGGGAGGGGGGCTGGGTAATTTTTATATAATATATATTATAATTATGTGATATTCATATTAATCTAAATCTGCAAAATAATATTACTAAAGCCTTGAAATAGATCTAGTTGAGTACACCCNAATCCTGTTGTAGCTCATAGTGTCCCTCCTGACATGGATTAGGTGGTCACCCTAGCACGATGTTATCAGTTCTGTTTTATTTTCTTGTGTTGGAGAGTTTCACTCTGTGCGTGTGGGGCGGAGCAGGCAGCTCTCTCAAAGACTGCGGCGTCCTCGGAGACACAGCAGCTAAGAACAATGCATGGCGGAGAAATCTGTTTGTTCGAAAGCGTGGTTACCATTCATTTGAGCTGATGGTGACAATGGTCCTTCTGTGCAACTTGTTTGCATTTGAGAGCTCAGATTCGAACAATATGTCAGACGTCTAGATAAAAAGTGCACGACTTTGCGCAGTTAGTTTCTTCATTAAACGCGTCTATCCTTTATACGGGCTTATCCGTCGACAGCGTCACAATCAATAGGGGCTTACGTTGTCCTTGCATACAAGGCTGTGTAATACGACAAAGTTATTTTATTTTCGCTAGATTCTAATTGTGAATTTGGCTTGTAAGCTGTCTGTCTGCTAACAACATAAACAACATGTTAGTGAAAGGTTTCGGGCCTTGTACACTACTCATCATATCATGATGCACTTAGTTACTAGTGTTTTTTTTTCTTTCAAAATGTATTAGAGTGTAATTATTTTAATGTGCATGGAATACTGGAATTGTAGAATGAATTGAAGATGAAGGCACTATAATAAAAAAGCTAACCTTGCATTTTTTCCAACACTATATTGTGCACTGAAAGATTCTGATGCTATTTTTATTGTTTATAAGTTGTATTGTGTTTAAGTTTATATTTAAATGTACATAAGTCAGTATTCAATAAATGCAAAGTTGAGAATTTTTGTGTATCATTTGTTATTAGTGTGATATTTTACCATGCAGATAGAGGGGAAAACGTCCAATTATCGGCCAAAAAAATCGGCAGCATATATCGGCCATTGGCTGACCCTCACTCCTAAATATCGGCATCGGCTACTGAAAAACCCTTCTGACAGGATTGTATCTCCTGGATGAGGTAGGGATGGTGTGTGCATGTTCACGTGTGTGTAAGTGAATATGAGTGCGAGAATGAGTGTGTGTGTGTGTAAGCCTTTAAAGGAGCATGTGGCCGTTGGATAATTCAGTGTCAAAGTTTTATTGGCTGTTGGGGGAGGGGGGCTGGGTAATTTTTATATAATATATATTATAATTATGTGATATTCATATTAATCTAAATCTGCAAAATAATATTACTAAAGCCTTGAAATAGATCTAGTTGAGTACACCCCATGCTCCCCTTTAGACTGACCCCTGCACACTGCAGGTATCACTGCGACAAAGTGTGACGGCTGCTGTCAGCCTGCTGCAAGTTGACAAATTTAAATATTGTGTCAAACTAAGCTAACAGTTTATCTGCATACAAACAGCTTCTATTTTAACTTGTATAGCTTTACTGTAGCCTTGCTGCTGTGGAAGACAAACGGCGGTGGATGGGAGCAGCTGAAAACATCGCTTTTCTTCACCTTTCAGCTTGTTGAAAAGCTGGTTTGATTAACTCTTGCCAGCTCTTTACCAGTAAAGGTTTAGTAGCGATTACAAGCATTGCTGGTATTTTCCTTCACTCCACCTGAGTTCACCATCTCTGTAACGGAACTGTCTCTTTGCTCTTAGTGTATAGACAGGCTCCAGCTCCATGTTAATTAAACTACGACAGCATTATTTTCACATCTGTTGTGCTATCAGTGTTTTTGTTAAGGAAAAATAGGGGCTTCTTGGGCTGAATCTTGTTATACTTTTTTATTCACACATATGCCCATAAATACGTTTCTATCGCAGGTCTTTGTTCAGCCGTAAATGTGAGTGAAACGCTCACGCTTACCTTGTATCGGTTCCACTCTGTGGAATGGATGCATAGACTGGGTGCTTTCTGTTGATGTTGAATTATTGACATTGTGCTATTGTAAGCTAATTCTTTTTTACAATGGACACACTGTACAGTATTTTCGCTTTTCTTCTGTTTGAAATGGTCCCAAACTTTAGACATGTTTTCGTCTTTTTCTCTGACTTTCCTCACTATTTCCCCTGTCTTCCTCCAACGGACCAACAAATCAAACCTGCTACACGTAATGCAGCGTAAGCCCACTGTGCGACAGTAATAATCCTCCGAGTGAAACACGCTGATCACTAAGCGGTACACAGTCGTGCGGATTACACAAAGCATCGAAGCAAAGAATTTGCATCGAGGATTTTTTGTAATCGAATTATTCGAGTTACTCGAATTGTTGCAGCCCTAAACCAGACATTCAAATATTGAACTGCGCACCTACATGCAAGACGGATTGTAGTCAGATGCCCAAATACTGAACCTGAGTTGCCCGTCGTGCAGACATAGAGATGTGGTCCTGGGCCGACCGATGCAATACAGACATTATCTACACGTCTGTCAGACATCTCATGTTTGCTGGAAAAGTCTACTCACCCGCAAGCTACACAGAACCTAATCTACACCTATGGATACTGCTAGAAACAGGCAATCTGTACTACTAGCTGGGAAAACATGACAGAATATACATTTCTAAAGTGTGAGAATCATGCCAAGAATACAGAAAGGAAAAATCATAAGCTTACGCAAACTGGTTATTCACCAGTAACTTTGCTTACATACCAGTGCTGATGGCTGGAAAAGAGACTGAACCAAACCGCTTCTCTTCACACACTTGAAGCACCTTGTAGACCACCACCTTGATTTTATTGGGGTCAGTCTGCCCAACAATGTGAATTATGTTTTTACAGGACAGCTGTCCTGGCTGGGTGAGTAAATAACCCTTGTGTGGCTGGGAGCCTGAAAGTGAATTTATTAATAAAAAAAAATTAAAAAAAACAACTTAAGTGTACAGTAGGAACCACTGTGGTAAGCATGGCCTAGTATTTAACTGGGGGGGGGGGAGCAGAGTCTCCCCCATCAGGATTACAGGACATTGAAATGACTGGATCAACACAACATTGGTTTGAAAAGTTTGAAAATGGAAGGATAAAATAAAAAAAAAAAGCAAAAAAATAAAATAAAAACCAGACTCGGATATCTGTATTAAAGACCAATTCTGGTGCCACCACGGGTATCTGATCGGGTTTACAGGGTGGGAGAAAGGGAAGGACGAGTGAATCAACACAAAACACAGACCTAAATTTACTTCCCAAAATGGCTGCGTTCTCCTGTTCACACAAGACATTCCAATCTGAGGAATAATGGTCTACATTAACACTGATTTTTTTTGTTGGCATTTTAGTTACAAATTTTGTTCCATTACGAAGCAAAGATGCAGGCAGAAAATGAGACTATTGGTTCTGGACAAAAGCTACTTAATTTTAAACAATTAAAGAAGCAGCACTTTAATCATTTGCATCATATGCTAATTTTGTCCTTAAGCTCCCCATTGTGAGGTTTCTTTTGTGCACTGTGGGGGATCTATGTGACAGAAATGTTGTGTGAAGCACAGACTGCAAGACTTACCCAACCTTTTACATTCATCCTCCACAGCAAAGCCAGCTGCCATCAGAATT